TGATCTTTTAAAGTTAAAATTTTAATATTTAATTTTGAGAAAAAACAATTTTATTATTTCTTATAATTACAATATATCTAAAAAGTAGAATTTGAAAAGTTTAAAATAGTTAATATTATGCAATAATAACTTAATGAACCTATTTTCTTATAATGAAATAGTTAATGAATAGCTAAATTATGTGGGCAACATGATGATCTTGATATTAAGAATTCAAGAATCATATACAAATTTATAATTTGTTAATAAATATTTTATTATAAAAGAATTGTTTATCTTTAATATAGTATTACAGTATATATTAAAAAACTCTTTCCCACTCCCTCTTCTACGCTTGAAAATTTCCTTTTTAGAAAACTTTTTGAGTTGCTTATTTTTTCTTCGCTTTCTTCCTTCCCCTTCCCCTCCCTTGGTTACAAATCTTTTATTTCCCTCTCCTTCTTTTTCCCCTCCTCTTCTATTTTTTCTCTTTATACCTTTCCCTTCCCTCTCCCCTTTTTCCCCTACTCCCTGCCAAAGATAGGTTTTTCCTTCTCCTTGAAGTTTTTCCTCTCTAGGCCTTTCTTTCTTTCTAAAAATACCGTGCCCATTCCATCACTTCTTTGGTCAGTCGACTCCGTTTTCTCAAGGAAAATAAGAAGTGGCAACCTCCTCCAAGAAGTGGGCTTCGACAAGTTTTCCTCTTTCATGATTTTTTTTTCAGAAAAAGGACGGATGGTTTACCCCTCCAAAAGATCGGTATGATCATCATTACCAAATCCGGCGTTGTTTACTTGCTGACAGCTAGACTAGATATATCTAAGAAACCCATGCATACTATTATTGGCTGAATCTCTAGGTGCTGCGCCTTATGAGAATCTAGTAGGACAATACGTAAAGACCAGGGATTCTAGTTACCCCCGCAAACAGAGCTGGTGATGTCAAGCACTCACTCCTCGACAATATAGGTCTCTTGTGCAAGGTTAGGTAACAATGCCTATAAGAAAATCCAATTCAACTCTATCCATTGGACACTTCCGCCACACTTGAACAGTGGATATGCCAAATCCTTTCTGTGACTTGGAGGCCAATCTGCATAAAGTGGCTGCAGCGCCTTCATGCATTAAGGTAACCAATTATGAATCAAAATTTGGTAGTAATGCCACTACCAACTCCTCTTGCCATACATCAAGCCATATTTGGAAAGCAAGGGTGCTAATCCTACTCATGACTTGGAGGCTAACCTGTGAAAATATGGCTGCAACACCTTCATGTGTTTAGGTAATCAAATCAACTTTAGGAAACTAGATGCTACTCAAGACGTTTCTATATAGGTTTTGAAATTCATTTTACTATATTTGTCTTGGGGGTGTCCAGAGCAAAGATTGGGGACCAATATGTGTCTTGCGTTTAACTCTACTTATAGCTTAGAGAGACATATATCTTTCTTCCAAATTGTAAACCTTTGCTGAAGTCAAAAATTACAATAAAATTGCCGATCGATAATAATCTTTTGCTCTTTAAAAAAAAAACAGTATTACAATATATTGTATATTGTATTATTGTTTTCCATAAATGGCACACTACTAGCAGTTTGATTAGAGGAAAAAATAATAAAAAAAATAACGTTCTGTTAAAAAAAAAAAAATTATTATTATTATTAACATAACAGAAAAATTTTTACTAATAATATACAAAAAAATATTTTTTTTTGATTGATTACGATATGCATGTATAAATAATACATGTTCAATAGGATTTTTTATTATGCAATGCGTAACGCTGATAAGCTTTGATTAGAACTATTTTGGCTATAATGCATGCGTGCTGCGTTCTTTATGGAAGCCGCTGTGACATAGTTGTTTTTTTTTTACTATTAAAAAAGTGGTCTGATACGCAATAGACAAATTGTTTCATTATTAGTCAGAAATGATTAACGAGGTCTATTCGGGTCCGACTGAAGCCATCCGTATAGAGGAGAATGTAATGCCAACATCATTGTCGCTTTTACCATGAATGGTAAAGGTACTATGCGTGGGGATGGATGCTTTATACGGTATAAGACATAATTAATAGGTTAATAGTGGCGGACTGAAGCCGTTTAATAAAGTTTACCGACGACCAATGAATATTTAACCCGTGTCGTAAAAAAAAAGAGTAGATCCTATTGTTGCAATAATTGTTACTAAATAAAGATTATCAATTCCTCATTAAGCGGGCTCCGTTCACCGATGTCTTGGATGTCCCTACAATAGCAGCAGGTCTTGGTCTATATCTCATCCTGGATAATCAATATCATGCCCGTTTCCTCGGCCTTGTTTCAGCCGCTGCCGGAACGCGCAATGTGATCAGCTTCTTTTGTCTTTCGAGGTCTGACCTCTGCTTCGAGCTGGAGACCCTCACGTACATGTAATTCCTCTTGGCGGGAGCAGTGGTAGAACTGGTATTACCTGGAAATTATTTTAAGACGTCATATAGTCTGATCGACCAACGACATAATACATCGTTTTTTTCGTGGCTCTATGAACGGGCAAGAACATTTTTGTTCGGGGATCGGAAATCTTTTTATATTGAATTGATAATCGTGTAAGTCAATTTTTTATTAAATAAATTATTAGAGGTTATCGCAGAGAACATTTGGGATCTTATTTACACAAACCCACAATTCCAAAATGAATTTCGTTATTGATTTTGACCCCTTGAAATTGAATCCAATATGAATAAATAAAGTTATTCTCTACTTGGCATATCGTATCCCATACAGGTTCAAGTCCCAAAGTCAGGCCAAAACCTGACCCTCCGTTAAATATTTGAACAAGATGTTTCTAACATCATTCACATCCCGATCCATCTACACCCCGCACGAATTACATTTAAACGTTTTTGATCCACCGAGATCATTTTTTACGAATTCACAATTCCCACACGTCTTTGGTGCATTCAATGACCTTGCAACCTCTAAACTCCCTCAACTTATGATGTAAGAACATCTGAAACCTGAAATGCAACCAAGTTAGCATCGCACGAGCAATCTTTGACCAAATCTTTCGCTTGTTCTCGAAGACCCGAATTTGGGTAAAAGAATGGTCTCGTAATTTTGACATAACCAACGGGCCAGCTGATGATGGCACTCATTGATTAAATTACGAATTCGTTGTATGATTTGTAGCATCTTTTTACTCAATTGGAATCTCTCTATTGTTTGTTCTTTCCAAAAAAAGATTTTTGTCGTTCTATAATTTGTCATATTTCTTATATAATTTAAATATTTATTAAAATCATCATTACCCCTTGACCGTCAAGGTCATAACTGATGATATATAAACGTGCTAACACCTGGATCGAGTGAGATTACTTTTCCCCGAACATCATCTTGATTATCGATGATATCCAAAGGAAGGAAAAACAAGTAAAAAAAACGTCCCAGATGATTCATAGTTATGTTAATCGTATTGTTATCTGGTAATTGTTTTGAGGCGATAATATTTTTTAGGAACGTGTATTTCTCTCTGTTCTTATTCTAATCCATTAGTAAGCATCGAGATGGTTTGTATTCGATCTTTCTTTGATCGTTACTTCATTCGAAATTATTTCCATGCAACTTCTCATTTGTTTTGTATGTGGCCATTAATTATCGAATCGCGTACGAACGTACTTCCCTAGAGGTCTCTTTTACCCAGAGGAGTTCTTCAGTTTTGAAGCACTCATCGTTCAGTAGTGATTTCGTATGATGCTCATGTTTGTGATTCCATCATCTTAAGAATCTTGTTGTACGTTCATCTCACAGTTCCCATCCAGTTTTTTGGCTTGTCTTTTTTCGGGTGTTGGGTAAATCCGTATCTTTGGTGTATAAAATCTCTCTGTCATTTTCGGTTTCCAGCTGATCTGAACCTATTGTGTCTTGCCGAGAATAAAATAATGATCGATAATAGGTCCTTGGCAAGCTCACTGGATTCGGTGTCATTAACTTTAACGTCCGAACCGAGTACCAGATCTTTGTACTGTTATTGCCAAGAATCCATTCGACAAGTTCGTTCGCAACTCTGTTGAGTCGATGCTTCCTGGAAACCATAAACTTTTCGATATCTCTTCGGTGCGATCGTTCCGAAATACTGTAGATATGAAGCCCTTGCATTTCCAGTCGAGATTTGACCCATGGACAGATCTTTTCTTTTCATTTATCTTTTCATGATAAAATTTCATGTTTTTCTGATCTCTTGTCCTTCACGATATTTGTTTGACATCTTGCTCAAACATACGAAACGGGACTTAATTATACATTATAAAGAATGAATCATCAGCAATGGTGTAATAATGATATTTAACATTCGTTGCCATCAATAATCAGTCAGGTAATATAAAATAATTACTATAATTAAAAATAACAGTCTTTATTGTTTACATACCATTTTCTATTAACGAAGAAATTGAAAAAAAAAAAACGAAATCGGACCCTTACCTTATCTACAGGTTGCACAGATCAGATTCAACATGACGTGTGAAATCGAAGATTAGAAATTTACGTCATATTCACTGATCAAATAATCGGTTTGCGTAACCAACTGTTGTAGAAAGTAGAAAATTACCTTATTTTAAATATCATGGCCTTGTGCTTTGAGGCGCGGACTGATAACCCCAGAGAGCATGAACCTTTGCGACCAGGCTAGATACATTTTCGTCCGTGCCAAGTGTTCGTTGGCTATGTAAAAAAAATTATCGCGTTGTATTATCGTTGTACACATGGTCATACTGCATAAAGCTCGTGGTACAAAGTAAAGGCGAAACTGCGGATACAGTGGGTCAAACTCATTATAATCTAGATGGGTTCCATGGTATTTTCGTAACTCATGGATATCGATAGTATCCTTCTACGCTGTCGTGGCCTACTTTCTCGCTGTACTTGTTTTGTTGGGCGCAAACAGTGTACAGGTCCGCGACTTTCGCAAGATTTATTTACTACATTCGCCACGCCACCATAAATGAATGAATGAATAAAAACAAAGTAAATTTTTTTTAGCCCAATGGCATTATCATTGGACAAAAATGGTTTCTACTGTGATAATTATGATGATGTTGATGCACTTTCTGATTCTGCATAGTTATGCTTCATACATGTTTCTTGACTAACAAGCAATATCTATCTGTTTAGATAATGAACCAACTGGTTTTCTCGCTAGTCTCAAAATGAAAGGGTCTACACAGCACACTTACTCTAAATGCATAAATTATGGAACGTCACACCAGACGTACTCAGGTGACGATTTGGAAGTTACATCATCTTTCTTTTCCTTTTCGCGTATCTCTTAGGGTTATCGCATTATGTAATATGTATATTTCATTTCAAACCCCTTTTTTTAATTTTATTTTTTTCATACCATATTCCCCCTACTTCACTTCTTCTTTCCCTTCTATCTTATACTGACGACACATCTTTTAGAAAAATTAGAACACAAAGGCCCCACTCCAAAGAAAATACTTTGTCTAAAAAGAAGACGCCAATATTATATCAACTTTTTTTATAGAAGGGAGCATTTCTTGACACACATACGGGACAATGAAGTTATCAAAATTCTTTTCTTCAACTTCAAATAATAAGCTTCGTGGGCCAATTCGTCAGAAACAACAACAGCAACAACAACAACAACAACAACAACAACAACAACAACAACAACTATCATCAAGCAACAATCATCTTAATCATGGTGTTAGAAACGCCGTTTCAAGCACCTCCATCACCACACAAAATAGTCGACCTTCGCCAAGTTTTCATTTAACTCCCTCCTCTCCACCAACAAGCCCGACGAAACTGTATCATTCCAATAATCCATTTGCTCAACGATCAAAATCCAACTTGAACCGACCGAACGTTCTTGCCGCGAAGAGTTCCCTGAATACATCATCGCCGCGTGCCATCGGAAAATTAAGTAACTCCAACTTAACCGGTGGTATCAGTGGATTGTTACCTGATCACCCTTCACCTGTATTTTTTTACAATTCATCGAACTCTTCGACACACTCCTTGGTCGAGCAAGACGAGGAAGATCTAGATGATAATATCTTTTATAGGACATTAAAAAAAGATTATCCAAAGATATTTAACGGAGTTACCGTTGTCTGCGTACCTCATTCCAAAAGTATCGTCGGAATAAAGATTAATCGAAGTTTTATTGGTACGTATGAAAATTTTTTTTTTTTGTGATACACATTAATTTAATTGTTGCTACCGAATTTAGTGTAACGTAACACAAACGCGTTGCAAATCATTTATGTCACTTGTCCATCGCTAATATCAATTAGAAACACATTCGCTGAGGCCTTCGCCGTATTTTCAGGGACAATATCAAAGCATCAACGAAAAAGTTATATCCATCGAGAGAAATTGTGTAAATCTAATATCAGGTATGGTGCATCGACCGTCGGTTGTAACCGTGATATGCTTATGTAAATCCGTCTAATTCGGTATCTATCTGAAGGCTTTAAGGAGGACAGAACGATACGCATACTAAGCGAGGAACTGGTATACAATGAATCCTATAAATTACAAGTTCTGATATTGGAACGTCCGTTGGAGGGTGAGGGAAAAAAATCCCTTTCGGCGGATAACAATTGTCCAACATTCAGTATACCAACGGAAAGGAATTGCGAGATGGATTTACTGTTTCTGAAGAATATATTGGATAACGATGACCCACTAAAGGATCTAGAGAACATGGTGGAGGAGTTTAATGAGACTTATGTATATGTTAAGGGTTATTCGGGATTTGCTGTGGAAAGAATTACTCAGATATTTCAGAGAGCTGTTAAGGTAAACATAGAAGGTGATTGAAAAATGACAACGGCGACGTGCATTAAATCAGATGTGCTTAAATATTTTTTAGAATATACATCAATCCAGCGATACGCTAAGATCCGTTTGTCGTACCCTGTACGAGTACGATCTATTCCAGGAGCTTGTCGAGAAGTATGACTTTCATCTACGTGACTTATCAGACCATATTTGTGTATTCATCTGTCTATTTTTTCTTTAGTGTTCTGATGAGTGAATTACACAACAAAATATTCATTCAGTCACTACTGCCAATATACAATTCTCGTGACTCATACCTTGAATCAATAATCAATGTATACTCTCGTGCTCAGGTGTCCCTAAAAGATTATGGCATATGCGAGAGATTGCAAGATATGCCGACGGAGATGTTGAAAGCTGCATCCGAAATACTCAGAGCCTTGAACGAAGATGATGAGACTAATATCGAAATACGTGATCACGACGCGTTGAAGTTTGCCGGTCTTGGAATTACCACTCATTCTAACATAACCGATGATGCGGAAGATGACAAGAGCATTGTAAATAGCGATGAAAATGATAAAGGCGGCCATAGTGTTATTAGCAATAATGGGATAATAATACCAGCGAAAACTCCGTTGGAAAAATTGTTTTGTGTCAAACGAACTGTGCAAGAAATTGCCTCCATTTCTGACACCTATCTAACACAATTGGCCGCGCCTAATGCAATAAACGATGAAACCAAGAGATCGCCTATCACTACAGATGATTTTATACCATTGCTAGCTTATGTTATCATAAACAGTAAAATTCGAAAGTTGGAGAGTATATTATTTTACATGCAAACCTTTAGATTGTCAAAAGTGGAGAGATCCGAATTGAGGTAAGTATTATAAACGTGTTTGCGTCGATCCGTGCGATACCCATCTTACCGATTCCCATTCCCATTTGTCTTTCTTTCTCCCCGAAATTGTGTTAGTTTTGCTCTAACAACCCTACGAGCCTCGACGGAATTCCTAAAATCAGATCCATTGCAACTTCACGACTCCGTCTCCACGACATCCTCAATTTCCTCAATTTCTTCGCATTCATCATACAAATATTCCTCCCCGACTTTACCAATAAACAATAGGGTTCGCAGTCGAGCAACCTCATTTTCCTCGTTGTCCACACCTATCTCATCACCACCGATATCATCAATTTATCCTTCATCACAAGTCAATCACTCGAAATCTTCGTCAATGCCCGGATTGGTTCAGCAGCCTTCACCTACATTGAAACGGGATGATTCACTTGCGGGATCTACTAATTCCGGCTTTGCTAGTCCAAAAAACCGTTATGGATGCAAACATAATCCCGGTGATGAATCGACGACCACAAATTCGGGAAGACCAAGTTTTGACCTTGCTAATTCCGCTTCGATGTCAACACAATCTTCCACTAATGATATTGGCAATCACAATCCATCACAAAGAAGACGTCGAGCATCCATCACTCCAGTATTATTAATAAAACCGCAGATATTGTTAGCGCCTAGAAATGCACAGTCGAGAAAAAGTCTCGATAGTGAGCGAGGTGGCCATATTAATCATGGCGGTGGTAATGGCGAAAGCGAGATTACCAATTCTTTGATGAATGGTGTTGACAAAGAAGTTAATATTGGCAACAATCGGGGCGATTCATATGATGGTCGAGATAGGATAGGTAAATTACCGCCATTGGCTACTAAAAATTCCTCGTATCAATCGACATCAAGGTCCAACAGCTCAACAACTGGATCCAGTGATAGTAGTGGAAAACCAAAGAATTGGAGACACTCGATACATGCACCCGAAATTATTGCAGTAATACCCAGGCACGCGCATAATGGTACCGTGCACACTGGTAAACCCATTTTGGATCTTTCACCACCAAATCCTGAAATTCTTGGCGATTTTTTGAGTAGCCTGCAGAGTATTGACGGCGAAGTTGCCGGCAATAGAAATGAAGGGTTTACCTCCAGAAGATGGTGAGGATTGGTTCCAAGATGATGAGTGCCGGCAAACAATGTTGAGATGTGGGTTGCCGACTTCAGGATAATAATTTACGGTGCCATTACCAAGTGGGCTTAAATTTTTTCGGGTTACCGTCAGTTGCATATCTATTTATATGACATGACGGGCGCATATGCGGACATGTGTCCATCGCAAAGGTCATCTCCCTGACTTTCTTATTAAGGGCACGATATTTTTCGCTTTATCATATCATCCAAACAATTAACCAACCCCCTTTTAGTTGCGGTTCTCTATATAACTACCTAGGCTGTTTTTCTCACTTTTCTTTTCATAAGAATTACTGTTTCTCGAGATGTATTCGCTTGTTTCTTAGTGGTTGCATGTGAAGGTGACCAAGAGACCGATGTACTAAAAATTTGGGCTGGTTCCAAATTGTCTGGTTAGGCAAGAAGTGGTCTCAAAACCCATATGTAGTTAAGCATAAATTAATTTTGCTATATGCAGTCAAAATTCGAACTTTCATATGCAAATTTATAATTGTAAAATCATGAATTATAATTATGTATTACTTTAGCCAGTTTTGTGAATTAACAATAATGAAATGTATATTATAAACGACATTCCATTATTTCTATTTCACAACTTAAAAGTGCATGTTAATTTGATATACATAGGCTTAATAAGCTTATTTTTTGTTTAATGCAATAAATATTAAACTTCATTATAATTATTTTCTTAATATATTTATAAATATAAAGGATAATATTGATTACATACTGTATATACTTGATAGAAAAATCATCAGACAACTTGAATTCATTAAACAGAGAATGATTCACAACAGACTCGGCATGTGATAAGTTTCGACCTTATTGTGTCATTTTTTCCGTGTATTTTTTTTCTGTAATAAATAGCTAAGCCAGCAAGAGATAGTGCAAGTACAATGAACACATGCCATATTGTGACTCGTTTTTAACCTTGGCCAAAATTGATCTCAACCTGAGTAAAAATATCAAAACCCAATTAACAAAATCTCAATCAAAAAAAATTATTATTATGATTTCATGGATTCAAATGACACAACCAAAATCCAAACAACAAAAAATTTTATTAAAAACCATATTAATTTAACTGTTTATAAATAAGCATTAACTATTTATAGATTATTATAAATTTTTTTTTACTTATAAACAAAATATTTTTTACTACTTGTGATAAACTAGTGTTGACTTAAATAAATATTTAATAAAATAACTAAAAAATTTATTATTAATAAAGTCTTATATTTAATATTTATTTATAATAATAATAATTTTTTTTAATCAATAATTTTATTTTAATATAATAATAAGATTTTATGTATTTTTAAAATTTAAAAATTTTTTATTAAAAAATAAATAATACATTATTAAATTAATAATAATAACAAATAGCAATAATAATATTTTTATATTAAATTTTAATTATAATAAAAAAATTTAAAATATATTTAATTATTAAAAGTTAAAAAGTATAAAAGAAATAAACAAAAAAATAATTTTTAATTTAAATTAACTAAAATTTATTTATTTATTTATTTATTTATTTATAGATATTTTTTAAATATTTGTATTAGTTAGATTATTAAATATTCTTATATTTAATTTATATTTATTATATTTCATGTATTACAAATCAAATTTTATTTATATTAAAAAAGTCAAATTATTTATTCTCTTTAAAAATTAATAATAATATAATTATATTTATATTTTAAAATTAAATAAATTGAAAAAACTATATTATTAATTAAAAAAATATATAATTATATACAAGTATATAATACAAATAATAATATAAATAATATAAATAATAATATAAATAATATAAATAAATTTTTATTAAAATTTTTAAATAATATTTTTTCAAAACTTTTAAAATAAAAATACAGAGAATACTCAAAAGTCATTGAACAAACTTTAAAAATTTATATCTAGCTATATATATAGAATTAAAAAAAATTATTTTATTTTATTTTTTTTTTAAATGTTAAATATTTTATTAAAAAAAAAAATTTTTTTTTATGCAGTAGTTATTTAAATATTAAAGTTTTTAAAAAAATTAAATATTTTTGCCAAACCAAAAATTATTTTTAATTTTTTAATTTTTTAATTTTTTTAAATTAATTTATTTAAATTAATTTATTTATTTATATTAACTTATTTGTCACATAAATAATACATCATTTTATTAAAATAACTTTATTACATAAATAATAAACTTACAAAACAAGAATCATCTTTTTAAAGATAATAGACAAAAAAATTCAATTAATATCAGTATAAAAGGATGCAATTATTTGCCATTATAAAAAAAAATACTATATTATGATATTGCAAAACAAGTCGGCTATTCGAAATCAGCTGTTGGTATTACTATTAAAAGATTCTTAGAAACTGGCTCTGCTAAACCACAAGGTGTAAGAACCGGTCATCCACCACTCATTAATTTTTCTTCCCAAGCTATCCTAAAAAAAATCACTAAAAAAACCCATCATTTATGTGCTTCTCAACTTACCAATGTTTCACGAATCAGACAAAGATTAATGTTTTCATGAATACAATTTGTCATGCTCTTTATAAATTGAATTTGAGATGTCGTGTCGCTCGCCCGAAGCCATTTATTTCCGAAGTCAATTCAGAAAACCGGCTCAATTGGTGTTTGGCACATGAAAACTGGACCACTCGGTATTTTCAACGTATGCTCTGGTCTGACGAGTTCATGGTATTCCTTTTTCAGCAGGAACCCTGCTGTCAGGTATGGCGCAAGCCATAATAAGAATGAAAAATTGAATGTTTAATCAGCACTGTTAAATATAGTTCAAGTCAAATGTACTGGGATTGTTTTTTTTGATACGGTGTTGATCCCCTTATCCTCCTTGATGGCTCTATAAAGACTTCTTCATATATTAATACACTTTAAGAATACCTTATTTTGATTTTTGATCGTTTTCCTTTTATTGATAATCGTGATCACCCGTACTTCATGCAAGATAATGCAAAACCATATACAATGAAGATCACCAATAATTTTTTTGCTGAACATGGGATTCGAGTTTTGGACTGGTCTGTACAAAGTCCTGATTTGAACCCAATAAAGAACTTGTGGCACGAGATAAAAAACTCAATACGGTGATGTGAAACAAAACCAAGCGATCTTGCGGAACTTGATCGTTTTGTTCTGTAAGCCTGGAAAAATATATCACGTCAATTTTGTTAACAGATAATAGACAGCATGCCATGACGTGTAAAAGTATACATTGCGGCTAAAGAGGGTTCTACTAAATACTGAATTGTATAAAAAAAAAAGTTAAATAAGTCACTTTAATTTGATTTCTCAAGTGATCTTCATTTTCGGTTTAAGTAATTTTTTAAACTTTTTTAAAATTTTTAATATTTCAGTAATTATTGCATAAAAAAATAAAATAAAATTTTTTTTTTTTAATTATATACTGTATATACTGCTGGATATAAATTTTTAAAGTTTGTCCAATGACTTTTGAATATCCTCTATATTTAAAAAATATTTATTTCTATAAAATATCTAAGTCATATAATACAAATTATATAATATATAATATTTAAAAACTTAAGTAAATATAAATTAATTATAAACTCTTTACACTAATTCTTTTGTCAATTCAAAAACAAATATTTTTAAAAGATTTTATTTCTTTATGATAATAAAGTCTATATACTCTCTTTAAAAATATTGGTTTTTTAATTAGCAAAATAAGCAATAGCTATTACTTGTCTACCTTTTCTTTTTCAAAATATTTTTTTTGTTTATTTTTGTAACTAAATACAAAAAACCTACCTAAAAGGTCTATAGCAAAAATATCTCTTTAAGAAGAAAACTAACAAGAAAAAATATTCTTCAAAGACTTTCAAAAGACTCAAGAATCCAGAAAAATAAGAAAAAAAAAAGTTTTTAATTTCCCTAATATCTCTATAGCTTTTTACTTCTTTTTTCTTAAGTATATTTTCCTTTTTTTAATTTTTCTAAGAAATTTTGCCTACCTCAATTTGATCCTGAATTTTTGGTTACATCAGATCTCCTGAAAAATAATTGGTCAAGATTATATATATGATAAAATTGAATTCAATTATTTTTCAAAAACAATATTATAATAGAATTACTAAGTAACATATAATAAATAATGAAATTTGTATTTAATTTAGAATCATATTATCAATCAAATTTTCTTTTATAATAATATGACCATATATATGGTTAAGATTATATATATAATAGAATTGAATTTAACCATTTTTCAAAAACTATATTATGGTAGAATTACTAAGTAACATATAATAAATAATTGGAATTCATATTTAATTTGAAATCATATTGTTAATTAAATTTTCTTTTATAGTAATATGACCACATATATGACTTCAACTATATTTTAATCAGATAAATGCAAAATTTCAATTTCTTATCTATGGATGATCTTGAAAAAGCTTTATAATTGATACATTTAATTATTTTTTTTTAGTATTACGATTATATATGTGGTATAAATTATTTTGCTATTAACTCAATTATTAAAATCCTCAAAAATAATTGCATCTGACTCAATTATTTTATATGTTTTAATAATAACTCAATTAATTGTATTAAATAATTGTATCAATTGCATCAAGGATCTATCTATTTCTATCACATGTATAATTACAACTAATCAAAACTATAAACATATAAATATATACTATACATGTGGTTGTATTACCATAAAGAAAATTTTATCGACAATACAATTCTAAATTAAATACAAATTCTAATTATTTACTATATATTACTTAATAATTCTATTATAATATGGTTTTTGAAAAATAGTAGAATTCAATTCCATCATATGTATAATATGTACTATATAATAAATGTAAAAGTTGTATAATTAATTGAATTCATATGCTTTAGATTTATATATTTTAAACCTGACAATCTCAAATAGTAGGTGTTATACATTCTATTGCCAGAAAATTAAATCATATGCTTATAATATATCTGAAATAGATATTATATACTTGAAATAAATTTCATATATTAAAAATAAATTATAATATATACAAATGATTTACAAATAAATTTTTTAAAATTAGCTTTAAATTACAATTCAACTATTATATAATAAATATATAATAATTATTAGTAAAAATGATTTATTATTAATATACTGTATACATTTTTCAAATAATTATTTATCAATATAATTTACTTATGAAATAAGAACACTCACATGCCTAAAGCAGTTTTAATACTTATATCTGAGAATATACTATCCCTTAAACTGTATTGTCGGCAAATTTGTCTACAATTTTGATTCGCCAACAAAATTGCTTCATATCTCCCAATGCCACTAAGTAAATACTCCTAACATATATAGTTCGTTAGAAACCTCAGAACCACAGCTCTTTGTGCCTCAAATTACGTAACCTAACTTTACATGAGTCGGTCAATATAGTCCTTTTTGTCCGCAGATCGCTTGCCGATCACTAACCTGAAATATGTATATTTGATCGGTCAATCGCCGATAGTGTTATAAACATTATAATACCATACGTTTAACATTGCAAACCATTAGTTAGTTACCTGTTGTAGTTATTCTTAGTAAAAAATGTCTTATTCTATTGACTTTGAAACTATGCCAGACTCACAATACTTAGTTAGTTTAGAGAGTCGGCACCGTGACGAAACAGAATTCAATGAGGAAGATATACCTGCGGAGTATGAATGTGAACCGAAGCAAGAAGAAACGGACAACAAGAGCTCTGAAGATGAGCAGAACAATAGTAGCAATATAGGTGTTTGAGAAAGAGGAAGCAAAGGTATAGGAAGAGGAAGGAGAAGAGGAAGCAGAAGGGGAAGGAGGAGAAGAAGCAGAAGAGGAAGTGGAAGAGGGGATAGGAATTGAGAAGACGTATACACTCCTTTATAACCAATATTAGCACTCCTAGGACTGCCAGAGTTTGAGCTGATGCAAAATACTCGTGGACTTAGTAAAAGTCATGTAACATTACCATTTGATTTACAATTAGGTTCCATTAAGTCACTTACACTTTTTGAGTTATTTTTTTCTAATACATTACTACAGACAATAGTTGAGAATACTAATAACTATGAACAAATAAAGGACAGTGAAGGTGGCCGCTCGTGGAAACCTTTAACATTAAATGAGTTAAAAATATGATTTGCATTAGTAATTTATATGGGGGTTCATAAGATTTATGCAGTTGAATATTTGTGGAATTCTGATGAAAAAAAAGCGATACATAGTATTAAACAATACATGTCATTGTTTCGGTTTCAACAAATAAAGAGGTTTCTTTATATTTCTTCTATAAATGAACTACAATTATATTGGTATTCGAAAGTGGAACCATTAGCATCACATATTTGGGAAATGAGTAAAAAGTTATATATACCTTGTTCACAAGTTTCTGTAAATAAAATAATCACTCGGTTTTCTGGCCATAGTGCATATACAGTAAGGATGAAGAATAAACCAACACCTGAGGGTTATAAAATTCTTTTACTCTGTGATGCTGGATATACATATACAATATACATTTATTTTTACTTCACGGGTTAAAAAGAATACAGATATAGAACTTGTTGTTGGACTTAATGAGACAGGACGTTTAGTATGGCATTTGGTGAAACAACTTCCTTATACCAAAACTTTTCATGTATATATGGACAATTATTTTTCCAATATTCCACTCTTTAAATATTTGCGTGATAATGGT